TAAATAAATAGATGATAAAGTTCACTGAATAATTCCTTAAAAATTAAAATTGGGAAAAAAATTAGAATTGTGCAAATGGAAGCTAATAACTTTATGAGACTTCAAGCAACAATAAAACAAAATCAAAAGAATGAAAAGTAGAAGAAAATGTGAAATATCCCATTGGAAAAACAACAGATATGGAAAATAGACCCAGGAAAGATCATTTAAGGATTATTGGACTACCTGAAAGCCATGATTAAAAAAAAAAAGAGCCTAGACATATTCTTTCAAGAAATTATCAAGGAAAACTGCCCTACTATTCTAGAACCAGAGGGTGAAATAGAAATTGAAAGAATCTACCAATCACCTTCTAAAACAAATCCCAGAATGAAAACTCCCAGGAATATTATAGCCAAATTCCAGAGCTCTGAGATCAAGGAGAAAATATTGTAACCAACCAGAAAGAAACAATTGTGATATCATGGGACCACTTTCAGTATAACACAAGATTTAGCAGTTTCTACATTAAAGGACTGGGGAGTTTGGAATATGATATTCCAGAGGGCAAAGGAACTTAGAATTACAAATAAGAATCACCTATCCAGTAAAAGTGAGTATAATCCTTCAGGAAAAAAAATGGATATTCAGTGAAATAGAGGACTTTCAAGCATACCTGATGAAATGACCAGAGCTGAACAGAAAATTTGATTTTCAAGTACAAGATTCAAGAGAAGCATAAAAAGATAAGCAGGAAAGAGAAATCATAAGGGAGTCAATCAGATTACAGTGTTTATATTCCTGCATGGAAAAATGATACTTGTAACTCATAAAAACTTTCTCATTATTCAGACAGTTAGAAAGAGTACACATGGACAGAAGGCATAGCTGTGAGTTGAACATGATAATTATCTAAATAAATAAAATTAAGGGGTGAGAAAGAGGAAAACACAGAGAAGAAGAAAGGAGAAGTAGAATGGGGTAAATGATCTGACATAAAAGAGGTGCAGAAGAGATTTTACAGTAGAGGGAAGATGGGGGAAGTGGCAGGGCAGGGGGAACCATACTCTCAAAGAAAGAATAACATAAACACGCAGTTGTATGTTGAAATCGAGATAAAAACCAGGATAGATTTGGGGCTGAAAGAATGGAAGGTGGATTGAGGGAAGTAAAAGTCTGAGGCAAAACACTTTTGAGAACAGACAGGATCAAAATAGAGAGAAAGAGTAAGAGAAACAGGGTAGAAAAAGAATGAGGGAAATACATAGTAATCATTACTGTGAAAAAAATTACATTATGTTTTTCTGATAAAGACTTCATTTTTCACACATACAGAGAACTGAGCCAAAGTTTTAGAAATAAGAGCCATTCCTCAATTGGTAAATGGTCAAAGGATATGAACAAACAGTTTTCAGATGAAATAATCAAAGCTATCTATAGTCTTGTGAAAAAATACTCTAAATCACTATTGACTAGAGAGAAATGCAAATTGAAACAACTCTGAGCTACCATCCCACACCTATCATATTGGTTAATATGACAGAAAAGGCAAATGGCAAAAGTTGGAGGGAATGTAAGAAAAGTAAGACACTAATGCATTATTGGTGAAGTTGTATACTAATCTAACCATTCTGGAGAGGAATTTGGAACTATGCCCAAAGGGCTATAAAAACCATGTACATCCTTTGACCAAGCAATACCACTACTAGGTCTGTTTCCAAAGCAATAAAAAGAAAACAAAAAGGAAAAGGATTTATATTTACAAAAATATTTATAGCAGCTCTTTTAGTGATGGCAAAGAACTGGAAATTAATGGGATACTCATCAATTGGGGAATGGCAGAAGAAGTAGTATATGATTGTGATGGAATTCTATTATGCCATAAGAAGTGACAAGTTGTATGCTCTCAGAAAAACCTGAAAATACTTACATGAACAGATGAAAAGTGAAGTGAGCAGAACCAGGAGACTATTCTAATACACAGTAACAGCAATGTTGTACAATGCTCAATTGGGAATGACTTAGCTATTCTCAGCAATACAAAGATGGAGGACAATTCCAAAGGACAAAAAAAATGCTTTCTGCCTCCAGAGAAAGAACTGATGGAGTTTGATTGCAGATCAAAGTATACTGTTACTTTACTTTCTTTACTTTTCTTGTGTTTTTTTTGGGGGGTCTGTTTTCTTTCACAACATGACTAACACAGAAATATGTTTTGCATGACTGCTTATGTATAACCTATCAACTTGCCTGCCTTCTCAATGAGGAGGGAGCAGAAGGAGAAAGAATTTTGAATTCAAAACTTTTAAAAATGAATGTTAAAAATTGTTTTTATATGTAATAGGGAAAAATAAAACACCAAATAAATAACAAAAAAAGAAAAAAATTAAGTATAATATTCATGAAGAGTAGGGCAGCTAAGTGGTACAGTGGATACAGTGCCAGGCTTGAGTCAGGAAGACTCATCTTCCTGAGTTCAAATCTGGCCTTAAACATTTACTAGTGACTAGTAAGTCACTTACCCTTTTTGCCTCAGTTTCCTAATGTATAAAATGAGCTGGAGAAGGAAATGGCAAACCTCTCAGTACTTTTGTCAAAAAAAACCCAAATGGGGTCACCCGAGAGTCAGGCACTGAAACAACTGAAAAACAAAAGGGCTTTCAAGGGGCAAAGGCCCTGGAATGAAGTTTCTGTCCCAAAATTGTTACAGGATACTCTGGTAAGACAGAGTTCCCAGAGTAGAAATTTTCTATACTACAATGTAGATCAGCAGCTGGGATCTAAGCATAGTCCTTGAGAATTGCCTGGGGACACTGTGAAGGGACATGTCCAGTGTGTCTCAGTAAAGCAAGACTTGATCTGAGTCTTTTTGATTCCTAGACTGGCAGCATTATAATAAGTTCCTCTGTCTGTCTTGGTAAGTCTTCACAAGCTGGAAGGGCTTTGAGTAGGTCTCTAGTGACAGACTGAGGTCTGCTGTTTGAGGTTTATCACTAGATTCATTGCAAGGTGATGGGTTTTTTCATCCAGTTTCAAAGACCATCCCCTAAGGGGCAGCTAGGTGGCACAACCTTGGAGTCAGGGGGACCTGAGTTCAAATTTGGCCTCAGACACTTGAAACTAGCTGTGTGACCCTAGGCAAGTCACTTAATCCCATTGCTTAGCAAAAACAAAACAAAACAAAAACACCACCTACTAAGTCAGAAAGGGAGATTAGAGAACCCTCCATCAGGCAATCACTGGAACAGCATGATGTGGTGAAAACATGGGTGAACTTGAAGTCAGGGAGGCCTGGATTCAAATGTCTCCTCCAATAATCCCTAGCTGTGAGATCAGGGGGCAAATTAAGTTCTCTCCAAGTCCTGGTTTCTTCATTTGTAAAATAGCAATAATGACTCTACCCTTGTGGAGTTATTGTGAGGATCAAATGATATAGTGAATGTAAAATACTTTTAACAAGTTTTGAAGGGATCTGCAGATGTCAGCTATCATTACAACATAACTGACTTCCCACATTTTCAGAATAAAAATCCTTTCAGAATGCTTTCCTTTGGGCTTTTTTTTAAAAAAAAAAAAAGAGAGAGAAGCCCAGGGGCAGTTAGGTGGTGCAGTGGATAGAGCTCTAGCCTTGGAGTTAGGAGGACCTGAGTTCAAACGTGATCTCAGACACTTGATACTTACTAGCTGTGTGACCTTGGCCAAGTCACTTAACCCCAATTGCCTCACAAAAAAAAAAAAGAGAAGCCCATTTCCTTCTTCAAAGGGTATGAACTTCGATCTATGAAGAAAGAGGGGGAAAGAAATCTACTAACAATAAATCAGAATGAATGAGATACAGACTGGATCAAGAAAGAGGGGGTATGGCTGTCTTCTAGGAACCCAAGTCCCAGAGACTGGTGGGACCCAATGGTGGAGGGAGCTATGAAATCCTGTCTAACAGACCAGCCAGGTTTCCAACAAACTTTATAAAGCTACATTAAATATCTGAGTGGTGTGCTTTTATGATTTTTATGCTTAATTTTTGTAGAGGTGCTAATATCTTACCTGGGAAAAGAGTTACCTGCTCAAAAACAACTGACTCTAAAAAGATTTATATTGATATCTTTTTGTTCTTGTTTTTACACTTATATTTCCCCCTGATTTCCACTCTCCCCCAACACCATCTCCCTTACAGAGCCATATCTTATAACAATTGACCTTTAAAAGAAGCATCCTTCCTGTTCTGCCGAGATACTGGAGGACATGCCTTAGATAATTCACATAGTCCTGCCAAATTTTCAAGTAAAGGGAGACAGCTTCACCAGATCAGATCCATTTGCAAACCATTACTGTGCTGCATGAATGAAACAAGATGAACAACTGTTCATCAGTATAATCCAACACTCAATTCGACATAAAACACACAGGAAAAATCGAGCTGCAGCCTTGTCTAGCCTTCTTGCATTACCCAAGCATAGGTAAGGAAGCTTCTTCTGCCCCCATCTCACATACTTGCAGAAATTATCAAGCAGCCAGAGGTGAAACTGGCTCATCTCGCATCCTGCTGAATCCATCATTCCCCCACCTCCTTTCTTCCCTGTGACTCTTCCTTTATGATCCAACTTGGAAGCAGATGCAAATTCGAAGACACCTATCCAAGCTCAGTCTGTCTCTAGCACATATGCGAACTGGAGGAAGACCTTGGAATTAACCCGTCGCCCCTGCCACCGCCCTCCTTGGCAAAGCCGTTTTTTGCCCCCTGCCAAGCTGAGCCTGCTGCCGCAGGACCAGCAAGGACATCCTTTGAGGGGAAGGGAACAAAAGCCAATCAATTCTAGTCCCAGCTGGTGCATCTAGGGATGCCTGGATTGTCTTCATCCAAGAGTAACAATGGATTTTTTTTTAACTGAGTAAAATGCATTTCATTCCCCACAAGGCTCCCGGTCCTTGTCCTGGGCCTTTTCTTTTCTTTTTTTTCTTTTGGCACCAATCTTAAACAAAACAAGAAGGCATAATAAAACAAAACGGAGCCTGACTCTCACCTGAGGCTGCAACTGGATCGAGGGCGGTGAGAGAATGCAGGGATTGCGAAATCCGTCTCACCTTTCTCCCCAGCGTTTGGAGATCCCTCTGGTGGTGTCTGTGCAAAGCATAGCGCGAGGGTGGGGCGAACATCCTGGCTGGGTTTGCGGGGCTAGGATCTCTCCTCCTCACAGACGATCACATGGTGCGAAAGTGGGTGGCCCTGCGGGGGCGGGGAATTAGTCCCATCTTAGGGTTTTCGTCCCACCTCTAAGTTGTTTTGTTCCCTGACCAGGTGCGGATAAAAAGCTCGCCTGGGAAGGCAGGAAGACTGCCGGGCTAGCGTGTGCCATTTTCTCTACCTGTCTTCCTGCAGGCCTGAGATCATTCTGCTCTGTGGGTCAGAGACAAAGCAGATCATGGAGACAGTGGCGAGGATCAAGAGCTGCCTGGCTGCAGGGCTGCTACGGGACCAAGTGGCTATAGTCACCGGCGGCGGTACAGGCATTGGCAAGGCTATAGCCGCCGAGCTGCTGCACCTAGGTGTGCCCGTGTCCACGGCCGGTGCAGGGGAGAGGGCAGAACTGGGGACATTGAGCGGGAGGAGCAGACTTGGGGCAGAGGACCCTGGGAGATGCTGGGGCAGTTTGGGGGACCGTGGGGATAAAGCGGAGACGCTGAGGGCGAAAGGGTCGGAGAAGAAGACCCTCGAGGAGAGACGGGGAAAGGCAGGGTAACTCTGGGAGAGAGGGAAGGGCACTGAGGCCAAAGGGTAGGAGCCAAAGGGTAGGAGCTGGTGGAACCCTGGGAGGAGAGGGTCAAGGGAACATGGAGAAGGGCTTGGAGATGATGTGGCAGAGGAAGTGAGGGGACGTTAGGAGGAGGAAGAAAGGGGCTGTAGGGTCCTGTGGAAGAAGGTCTGGGCAAGACATGCCGAGAGGGAGAGGGGCTAGTGCAGAGACGGGGAGGGGGCTACCGTGACTAGGCCTGGGGAGCCAAAGAGGGGAGGGGGATAGGGTATGTGTAAGAGGGGCAGAAACTCTGGAATCGGCAAATGAGGAGAGGAACAAGTTGGAGGGCAGCTGAAGGGAGAAGAGCAGTGGTTGGCAGGTGTCCAGGTGTTTTCTCTACTGAGAGGAATGTGACCTTTGGAAGAGGAATACTGGCAGGGGGTCCAGGGATTGTGGATCAAAGGTAGGAGGCCAGACTGAAAGCAGGGAATTTTATTGGCATGCTAAGGAAAACCTGCTGATAAAAGCATCAACTTCAGAGATTATAAAATTGACTTTTTATAACATTTCAAGCCTATAGTCCAGAGCCAATCAGCAGCATTCCACCCACAATTTAGGATAAATTAGTAACTTTCACAGTAGAAAGAACATTAGAGAAAGGGAGAGTCATTCAAGGCAGGAAAGGGAAGGCTTCTGGGGGACTATTTGCCAAGTAGCTGACTAGTGTGTTATTGGAATGAGAAGACATTCCCTGTGGAGGGGCAGGAGCGATTAAAGGAGGTGACCAAATACTTGAGCAGAATTTACCTCTCAGGATTGTTGTATCAAATGAGATAGTATCTGTAAAGTGCACGTGCAGTCAGGAAAAACTTCGTTTGAATCCTGCCTTTGATACTTTCTAGCCATGTGACACTGACAAATCACTTACCTGTTCTCAGTCCATTTCCTCACAGGAAGCATGGAAATAATCATAGTAACAACCTCATGTGTTGTAATGAGGACCAAATGAGTTAACACTTAGCAAACATTCAAACCCCTTATAAAAGCTAGTTATTATCATCATTATTATCATTATTATTATTACTACTACAAATCTATACCATATTGAATTGGGAGGGCATTTTGTGATAATAAATTTTAGTAAAATGAGACAATTGATCCATTTAACTGATTTTTTTTCATTGAATTGGCTAGATTTGTCGGTATCATGTTAACATGTGTTACTCTTAGTGTAAGAGTTGTTTTTAGTCTGAATTTGCCAAATCAGAATTTCTCAAAGCCTTTATTATGTGATAATGAAATAATGGAATCTGTCCTCCAGATTAGCAGATGAGCATGGTTGAATACATAATACAGGAGTTTTTCTTATTTTGCGAAAAGAAAGGAGGCATTTGCATAAGAAGGGAACATGAATTCATTAAGCACCTGCGATGTTCCAGATATTATGCTGAACACTTTACACGTATTTCATTTGATCCTCAATACTCTTTCGAGGTAGAGGTATTATTAATCCCATTTTTGCAATTGAAAAAAACTGAGAAATAAGTGATTTATTAGGATCACACAGTTGGGAAGTGTCTGAGGCTAGTTTTGAACTTGGGGCTTTCTGATACCAGGCACAGTGCTCTATCCACTGTGCCACCTAGCTGCCTGAAAGGCAATGAAAGGCATAAGACTATAAATATTGAATATCTGCAATATGATCACAGACCTACAAATTCTGAGATCCAAGGCACCTCCAAACCGTATACATTCACTCTTCGGGAGCCCAAGAGGTCTAGGAAAGGCACTGTTTGGTTGTTTTTATCCCCACTGCATTCTGAGCCATCTCCAGTCATCCTGATTGATGTCTGGCCATTGGACACAAATGGCTCTGGAAGAAAAAGTGAGGCTGATGACTTTGCACAGTCCTCCTTCACTCAAATCAAAGTCAAATGTCATTATCTCCCCAATGTTATGGTTCTCTTTGAGAAGGAAAGACAAACCACACACAAACCTTTAGACAGAACCACAGGCTTGAGGTAACCTTTTAGATGGGACTTCAGCTGTCTGTTGTTGGGGATCTGTAAGGATGTAGAGGGCCACAGGCTGTTCATGAGGTCTCACTGATGGGCCGAGGGTGATTGATCTATGAGCAAAGGTCACCTGGTTCAGTGCTCCATTCTATGCATCTCTAACTTCTCTAGTTACTCATTAGTCATTAACAGTGTATTTGTGATTGGTGGTAGGTAAGTGCACGGACTGTGCATGCACTGTCCTTGAGCACAACATGGGTTATACGTCATTGTAACTTGAGAAAGAGTTCCTGTTATTTTACTATATAAGTAAGTGCTTTGCTAAAAAGAAACGGAGTTGCTGCCATCTTTTCTCCCCCCTCATCAATGTGTGCTCGGAGTGAAAGATCAAGCTGGTCTTGATTATTCAGGTGATTGGGAAATCCTAGGTCCTAGGTAGGCTCTGTAGCTGAGTGAACTCGTTGTGCACAACAGTCTCTTTTCTAAGGACTAGGACAATAAATAGTTATCAACAGGGCATCAGACCATTAGAATTTACTGTATTCTTGCATAATTCATCATACTATGTTTCTTCTTTAATAGCAGTTGAGTCTTTTATTATTTTACTGGGCTTTATTATTCTATTAGACTTTCTATTGTTAGGTCACCAAACGGTTGGGAATGGGGGAGGTCCTTATATTATTCATTCGTCAAAATGTTGCAGAATGATTGTGGTTCCTATCTGGGGCAACAGTCAGGCTTGACCTGGAGTTAACTGTGACTTGGGTTTGAATGGTGCTTTACATTTAATTGCTGTATTGTAAATTTGGGCAAGCCCCTTAACTTTACCTTCAGATTTCTCCTCTGGAACAAGCAGAAAATTCTGTTAGTTTCTACCTGTCACAGTTGTTGTGAAGATAAGGAACAAAAAAATTTTTTAAAAATGTTTGTAGACTTTAAATACTATATATTTTCTTCCCACTTTTGAAGACACAGAAGGGGCTGAGAGGAAAATGAGAGAGTCAGGACATAGGGGAGGAGTTATAGGACTGAGAGAACAGCATTCTAAGTGTAGCAAAGTAGATGGCATGAGGGTGTCACCCTTTCTTGGTACTATATCACCCCTCAGTATGCCTGACATTATATTCATTGTCTTATTTTCATTTTTTGTCCCCAACTCTAGAGAAATCAGGGCAGCTAGCTTGTACAGTGGATAGAGCTCTGGGCCTAGAGTCAGGAAGACCTGAGTTCCAATTTGGCCCCAGATACTTACTAGCTGTGTGACCCTGGGCAAGTCATTTAACCTTCAGTTTGCCTCAGTTTCCTCATCTGGAGAAAAAAATGGTGAACCACCCCAGTGTTTTTGCCAAGAACACCCCAAATGGGGGCACTAAGAGTCCAACACAACTAAACAACAACAATGTATTTGGATATTTTCTTTCTAATTAATTAACTTAAGATTCAGAGTTTCATAAAATTGGAGCTGGAAGGTACTGTCGAGATCTTCTTGTAAAACCCTTTCATTTAACAAATAAAGAAACAAAGGGTTCTGTAAAATCTGATCACCTTAGATCTTGATCACGAGAGATGAGTAGGTTTAGTTCAATTAGGAAAAACGTGCTGTGAACTCTTAGAAAAGGAGACCTCAAAGCATACTAGCCATATTAATCTGGATAGGTCAGTAACCCTAGCTGGATCTCAGTTTAACAATATAATAGCTACCTCAATGTTATGAGCTTCAAGTGAAATAGCATAGGTGAAGTGTGAACTTTAGGACATTTATATAAATGTCAATTATCATCTTCTAACTAGTTCCATTCAGTCAGTAACTAAGTGATACTGCATGTGAGAAGAACTGGGGTACAGACAAAGATAAACAAGCTGTTTAACCACTCCTGTACTCTATTGGTTCATTTCCTTTCTCCCAGTCCCACACTAAGGATATCCTTTAACATTCTGCCCTGGGCTTCTCTTCTGTCTCTACATTCTTTCGCTTGTGATTTGATCCACATCCCTGCCTTTGTGGATGATGCCAAACTATATATGCTGCTCTCTCTCCTAAGTCCCAGACCCACATTTCTACCCACCTACTGGGTATTTTTGCATATAGGTTTCACTAGTACCTCTAACTCAACACGTCCAAATTTGAACCCATCCTCCTCAACTTCTCCAAACCTGCCCCTCCCTTCCAGTGTCCCTAATTCTGTTTGTGGCACTACCATCCATCTGGTTCCTCAGGTTTGAAACTTCAGGAATTAATTCTTTCTTCCCTCTCCTTTGGTGCTAACATCTATTTAGCTTCAAAGCTCTACCTGTTCCACCTAGGAAATATTTCTCATGCCCATCCCCTCTACTCTGCTAAGTATCCTGCCACCTATTTATTCAAGGTTTTAGGATTTCTTCCTGGACTCTTAACGACTCTCTGCCTCTGTTCTTTTCTTTGGTCACTTCATCTTTTTAAATAGCTGCCAAAATAATCTTTCTTATCCTTAGATCTGACCTTGTCACTCCTTTGCTCAAAAATTTTAGTGACTCCTCATTGCATTTATGATAAAATTAAATTATTTTAGCCCAGCATTAAAGGCCTTCTGTATTCTATTCCCAAATTACCTTTCCAGTCCTATTTATCTCTGTTCCCCTTTAGATATCTTTGTGCCAGCTAAGCTAGTCAGTTGTTCTTTGACTTTGTCCTGGCCTCTCCTGTCTTTTTTCCTTCCTGCGGGTCATTCCTCAGACAGGGCATGTATTTTCTCCATAGCTTTATCTTCTGGAATCCCTCTCTTCGAGGCTCAGTATAGGTGCCACTTCCTCCATTTAGACTTCTTTTCACCAATCCAGCTGAAAGGTATCCCACCCTCAAATTTCTTACAGCCCATTGTCTGGGTTTTTTCTTTGCATTTGTCACAGACAACACTGTTGATTATATATACATATATGTGTCTTATTTCTTCTTTTTAGCATATAAGCTCCTTGAAATCAGAGATTGTTATTTTTCTTTTGTGTAACCACCCAATGCCTTGTACATTTTTTTTCTCTGACCTGTGATTTCTTCAGTTTTGTAAATTCTGATGTGGAAATTCCTTCTATCCATGAAGACTTATGATTCCTCTGTAACTTAGAGCTGCAGAGAGTTGCCTGTGGCAGTGGGAGGTTAAGTGATGCCCTTGGTGACACGGCCAGCAGATGTCGGAGAAAGGACCTCAATTCTAATCTTCCTGATATTAAAAGGTGGCCCTTTATCCATTGCACCACACTGCTTCTTTTGCCTTACAAGTAGCAACTGCTTAGTAAGTGTTTGTTGAATAAAAGGAGAACAGAGCATTCTCGGACTGAAAGCTACAGTGTGAGATCAAGGACTATTTTCTTATTTTAAATCAATCAATCAATCAATAAATGTTTATTAAGCACTTACTATATGATAGACAGTGTCACAAAACTTCCCTGGATGCATTCACAAGGAATTCCTTTATGGCAAGGGTCCGCATCCTGAGGCCAGTGGATCCCAAGGGGCCCTTGGATGGATTTCAGGTGGTCCACTTGTCTTTTAAATATTTTGAAAAATGAATATTAATATGGTTTTCTTTGTAATCATAAGTGTTTATTTGGTGTGTATAAAAATGGTATTCTGAGAAGGGGTCCCTAATCTTCAGCAGACTGCCAAAAGAGGATCCATGAGAAAAAGGTTAAGAACTCTTGTGTTATAGCAAAGGTATACAAACATCATCAAACTATATTGTGGATATAGCAATATAGTAATGAAACACATGACATAGTTAAGTTTGCATTACCTGAAGAGATCTATACTTCATGGCCAGGTACATCACAGGTCTAACAATTGAGCAGAAAAAGGTATTTCTGTTTTGTATTATATATCCTGCAAGAACACATTAGATTTTTAGAAAGTCAATATCATTGCTGTTTTAGAGATATCCAGGCCCTTCCTGTCTTTGCGAATTTGTGCAGGCCATCCTTAAGAGGAAGGCCAATAGCACATTGGGTGGATTCTTTATGAGAATGAAAACTTTAGGTGGGCTTTGATCTGTTAATAGAGTACCCAAACTCATTAGGTGTGTGCGTGATTATGTGTGATTACTGCTAAAACTGGCCATAGCTAATAAGACTTTTTAAAAATTCAATTTATTTTTTATATTCAATTTTGTTCCCTAATAATATGGTGGTGTTTATTTGTTTGGTTTTCTTGCCAGAATGTAATGTAGTTATTGCCGCCCGTCAGTTTGATAGATTAAAATCTGCAGCGGAAGAGTTGAATGCTGCCCGCCAGCCTTCTAACCCGGCCAATGTTACTCCCATCCAGTGCAATATTCGAAAAGAAGAAGAGGTAAAGTTAATATTTCTAGTTTTTGTTTCTCTAAAAGTTATGAAAATTATGTGGAGAATATGGTATGGCCCTAAGTACTTCTTTGATATGTTTTTCTCATCCTAATGTATATTGATTAGTAAAAATGCTTGGGAAATTATTTTATTTCTCTTTATCAATATTTTTTCTGGTTACTGGCAGATTAACCATAAATACTTTTTTCTTTCAATACTTGTTGGTAATTTTTCTAAAATGACACTTTCTTGCTTTTTGAAGTGTAGTGTATTCAAAAGAAGTAAATCCAACAAACTATATGCAAAGTAGTATGCTAGGTATGGGGGATAAAAGACAAAAATGTAGCAATCATAACATATCTGCAAAGTCATCCTCTTTCACACTCATTTCACTTAGCTAATCCATTGTCAAATCTTTTTTTTGTCTATATTCACAACATCTCTCCTATGTGTCTCCTCTGTACTCATAAAATCATCTCCATGCTACAGATCCTCACCCTCTTACATAGATTAGTTCAATAATTTTCTAATTAGCCTTCTAGCCTCAAATTGCCTCCTCTCCTATCCATACTTCAATCAGCTGTTAGTGATTTTCTTTGTTCTTTTTTAAAACAATAATTCAAAATTTTTTTCTAAGGGCATTAGTTAAAGTGTTAATCTAAATGAAAACCAAAAACAAGTCTATAAAATAGTTGATTACTAACTTTGTGTTGAAAGCAGCGAGTTTTCCACATTACCAAACAAACCAGTTCTGAATTTTTCCTCAGATAAAGCTTAACAGCACTAGCTTCTCTAGTGTTTTATCAAAAATAATAATAGCTAACATTTATATAGCACTCGCTATGTGCCAGGCACTGTGCTAAGTGCTTTACAATTGTTATCTCATTTGATTCTCACAATACTTCTTCAAGGTAGATGCTGTCGCCATTTTACAAATGAGAAAATGGGGGAAAAAAGAGCGTAAGTGACTTGTCACACAACTAGGAAGTGTCTGAGGCCAGATTGGAATTCAGGTTGTCCTGATTCTAGGCCAGGCACTCCATTTCCTTCTTATTTTAGTGGCATTGATTTTTTTTGCTCTAAAGGTCCTTCTAAAGGGCAGCTAGGTGGTGCAGTAGGTAAGAGTGCTGGGCCTGGAGTCAGAAAGACTCATCTTTGTGAATTCAAATCTGGCCTCAAACACTTCCTAGCTGTATGACTCCAGGCAAGTCACTTAACCCTGTTTGCTTCAGTTCTTCATCTGTTAAAAAAATGAGCTGAAGAAGGAGATGACAAACCATTCCAGTATCTTTGCCAAGAAAACCCTAAATAGGGTCAAGAAGACTCAGACATGACTGGGCAGCAGCAATAGCAACCATAACAACCGTAACAAAGACCTATAAATTTCAGGTAATCAAAATTATCTATTTTAATTTTTGTGATATTATCTATCAATTGATTGGCTAAGAACTCTTCCCCCTAGTCATAGCTATGACACATCTGAACGTATCCTCTCCTAATTTTTTTTTTGGTGTGATCTTTTATATTCAGACTGTGTACTCAGTCAGAACGTAGTGAGGTCCATGCTGTAAGATGTTGGTCCAATCCTAAAGGAAAACTTGTAGGACGTGGAAATGTGGTACAGGGCATGTATGATACCTCTCACTTTGCTTCTTACTTTTCTCAGCAGTTCTTATTCAACAGCAAATTCTTCCCCAAGTAATTCAGGTTCTCTGGCTTATTGAACCCTGAGTTTGCTTCTGATTTGTTTTTAGCTAGTATGTTCTTCTGTACTCATTTCCTTTAAAAAAAAATGCCAAATAATTTTGGTGATTAATGCTTTATGATTTAATTTCAGGCCTGGTCTTGTTACTCTACCTTTATTCCCATTTTTCCCTAATATTTCCATGAAAATGCTAAATTTTTTATTCTTGTAAGTTAATTTTGTTACTCTTTTCAACTCATTATAAAGTACTCATAGGATACTTTTTGAGTTTTTTTTTCAAATTTCACTTCAAAATTCATAGCTTTTCTTTTCCTTGACATGTCCTAGGCTTATCATCAGCACTACCTTTCTGTGTGTGATTATTGAGTGGCAAGACAGAGGGGAAGGAGGACTGAATGAAAGAGTATACGTATGAAAAGCAGATTGTCTAAGGTGGAATCAGTCAGTTAGCTATGAGTGGTGAAAGACCATAAAAGGAAGGAATACTGTATGTGTGTATACATACACATGTATCCACATGTATGTACATACACACATATATAACTTTCCTAAGAGGAAAGAAAGAAGGCATCTGGCAATAGATAATTATCAAACTATTACTTTATGTTTCTATGACATTCTAGAGGCACCTAGTGCAGTGGACCTGGAATTAGGAAGCTCTGAGTTCAAATCTGTCCTCAGACACTTAGCAGTGTGAATTTGGATAAGTGTCTTCAACTGTAAACCGGGAATAATTGTATCACTTACCTCACAGGGTTGTGGAGAAGATCAAATGAGATAATGTTTGTAAAGGCACTTTGCACAGTTCCTAACACATAGTAAGCACTGTTCCTGACACATAGTAGGTGCTATATAAATATTTACTCCCTCCTTCTAAGGTTGATAAAGTACAGCCCTCACAACAGCCCTGGAATGACATAGGGAGTACAAGTATTACTATTTCTGTTGTACAAATGGGGAAACTGTTGTTGAGACAAGTGAAATAATGTCCCCAAGGCGACACACCTGAATGATAGAGCTAAATTTGAACTATGTCTTCTTACTCACTTAACCTCTGTTGGCCTTAATCCATTGGAGAAGGAAATGGCAAACCACTGTAGTATGTTTGCCGAGAAAATCCCATAGACTGTGGGGTCATGAAGAGTTGGATATGACTGAATGACCCAGCGGCAACACCGTCTTGCTCCATATGTAATACTCTTTTCCACATTGCCTCTAGGGCAAGTACCATTGGCTACAGTGTAAAAATCATGAAACGGAGGCTTGGCACTTTTCCCACTGCTTCCTATCATTATCATCAATAAATGCTGGCTGAGTCCTTGATATGTGGTGGGTGAGAAGGGAGAGTCAGGCCCTGGCATTACAATTTCTGGATGTTTAGAACTGGTTAGCCACTAGTAAGAGGCAGAACAATTGATCTTCACAAATACATCTTTTTTTTTTAACAGATTTGTGAACTGCTAGCTCTTAGCTCCTTCTAATGTGTGTCAACTTGAATTAGGGCCTGTCAGTAGAGGGATTCCAGTCATGCTAATCTTCATTATTAGGTTTTCAGTAACAATTTGGGCTATTTAACCAACTTATTTTCTTGGGCTTGTTTTAGGTTAACAGTTTGGTTAAAACTACATTAGCTATCCATGGTAAGATCAATTTCCTGGTGAACAATGGAGGAGGCCAATTCTTATCTCCTGCTGAACTCATCACTTCAAAGGGATGGAATGCTGTGGTTGAAACCAACCTGACTGGCACCTTCTACCTTTGCCAAGCAGGTAGGGATGGTGAATATTCAGAAGAGTTAGGCCTTTCTTCATTTTTAGATCATAAACCCCACTAAGACCTATTACTTGCACTGAGGTGCCCAATTCTGTTTCTTTTTTTTTTTTTGGCAAGGCAATTAGGATTAAGTGAGTTGCCCAGGGTCACACAGCTAGTAAGTGTTTATGTCAAGTGCCTGGTCTGAGACCGGATTTGAACTCAGGTCCTCCTGACTCCAGGGCTGGTGTTCTATCCACTGCACCACCTAGCTGCCCCTGAGGTGCCCAATTCTTAAAAGAAGCTGTGACTTTACAAATGTGAATATTCTCGGCACTGATGTACATTGCAGGTGGCCTTCATAAGTGGCTAAAATATTCACCATCTTGCAGCCTTCCTGGTGGTAAACATGAAGTGGGTCCTTAGGCAACAAGCCTGGAGGCCTCCCCTAAACCATACTTGGAGTAGTGCTGCACACTGAATGACAATTTTGCTTCATAGCCTTTGAAATTCCATGGTTACCTCCATGCTTTGGAATGTGACTTATGGGTGGAATTTTAGTAGTGCCTGACATACCCATATTTTCCTATCTTGTTCTCATTTTGAAAATCATACATTTGATAAAGAATTAAAAGCCTCCAAAGACATTTATTAATATCTAATAATAGTCTAGGGAGCAGCTGGGTGGCACAGTGGACAGAGCACTGGACTTGGAATCAGGAAGACTCATCTTCCTGAGTTCAAATCGGGCCTCAGATGCTTTACTAGCTGTGTGACCCTGGGCAAGTCACTTAACCTGTTTGCCTCAGTTTTTTCATCTATAAAATGGACTGGAAAAGGGAACGGGAAAAAAACACTGCAGTATCTTTGCCAAGAAAACCTCAAATGGGGTCAGAAAGAGTTGGACATGACTGAAACTAAACAGCAACAATAGTATAAAAGACTAATAGTCTAACATTATATTAAGAGTTATATTATTAATTGGTCTATTAGATTATTATTCTAATAAGTTTAATAGATAGTTATTTATAGTTATTATTCAGTCATTTCAATTGTGCCATAATACCCTAACCTCTCCTGGGTCCACACCTCCAGTTTGGAAAACACTCATAGTTTTATACCATTGTGGCACTGATAACTGTTCTCTCTTTAGTGATTAAATACTTTAAATGTTGGGGTGATGGTCTGGACTGTGACCTCTCAGACATCAGAGTAAAGCTGTACTGATGTAGAAAAAAAGGCTTTTATCTAAGGAAAGATTTAAAAAAGTAAACTGATATGGCATTATTTAACCTGGAGAAAATAAGTCAGACGGTTAATTAAGGATCAGTTTTTATGTCCAGCAACAGTTTGCTAAGGAACATGGGAATAAACAGCTCAGGCTCACATGCATAGCAAGTGGCAGAACAGAGATTTGAGCTGAGATGCTCTGATTTCAGAGTCACCCCTTATTACCCTGTGTTGTTTGAAAATGATTTAATTTTATTGTCTTGTCTTGTGTACAGTTTTCAAGTCCTGGATGAAGGAACACGGAGGGTCTATTGTGAATATCATTGTCATGTTAAGTCAAGGATTTCCTAAAGCTGTGTAAGAATTTTTACATCCTTCTTTTGTCTTGGAACTGCTTAAACTCTTTTAAATGGAGTTCTGATGTCTCTCATGATTTCAAACTGCCTTTTTTTTCCCCTTTGGGGCTTTAAGAAGATGCTTTTAAACTATACCTATGCACTTGGAATCATGCTAGGTCCATCCTTGTTTTGGGATTGCTTCTGTGGTCAGGTGTTAGAGGATGCAACCAAAGGATACATAAGCATTGACACACTTATTCTTCCTAGTCAGGACAGATGAATGCTCATGGATGCCATAGATGTTTCTGATGACTTCATTTATACCCTTTCTGCATGTCATACCATAGACACAGCGTGCACATGCTCCGTCATCACCCTACATTTCCTCACTGTGCTTTGCTTTAACTATCTAGACAGGACTCTAGGATAAAGCCTGCTTTTTAGATTTTTTCAGATTTTAGACCTTTCTTGATGCTTTTTTGCATTACCTGTAGGTTGAAATATCTGTGAAATCCTTAGGTACTATTTGGAGTGTGTATTGTTCATCTTGAGATGTTTTTATGTCTCTTCCTTTTCATGTTTCAGATGCGAGTTGAAAATCCTCTTTTTTTTGCGGGAGGTGGGGGGGGGAGGGAATCTCTTCTAAGAACTGTCTCTTAATTGTTCATTTCCTCTTTAAGGAGCACCTTTTCATCTTTATATTCCCAACTAGAGTCTTGTCTTTCCTTATAGAAAAATCAATTTAGTGAAACAGTCTAACTTGAAAGACTTTTTCCTCATTAAATCTTTCAGATAAAACAAAAGCAGTGCAATGATAGACTTTTTTGGTGCCAGGTTGCAGACTGAATTGGTATCTTTGGGTAGAATGAAATTGGGTAGGATAGAACAAATCGCTAGAAACTTAAGCATCTGGTAATTGTTTTTAGGACATCAATCCTAAATTCTTTGTTTTTCAAAAAAAAAGTTGCATTTCTTTTAAGCTCACATTCAGGCTTTATTTCTTATCAGCATTCTCTATCTAGAGGGAAGATGTGGAAGGGGGTTTCTTTATATCAATAGCTTCATACAATCAGATTTTCAAGCTCTAGCCATGGGCTGTGCACCACCTCGAAATGTGATATCAAAGTGCTTTTTAAAAATTTTTTTGACTGTGTCCCGAGCACCTAACACAGTACCTTTTTAAAAATTATTTTTCACAATTACATGTAAAAACAATTTTTAACAATTTTTTAAAGTTTTGAGTTCCAAATTTTTTTCCTACATCTCTCCCCTTCCCCCTCTCTGAGACAGTGAGCAATCTGATATAGATTATACATGTGCGATCATTAAAACATTTTCATATCAGTTATTTTTGTGCAAGATGAAAGGAAGGAAGAAAGAAGGAAAGAAAGAAAGAGAAAGAAAGAAAGCAAGCTTCAGTCTATATTCAGACAACATCAATTCCTTCTCTGGAGGTGGATAGCATTTTTTATCTTGAGTCATTTGGGATTGTCTTGGATCATTGTACTGCTGAGAATAGCTAAGTCATTCATAGTTCTTCATTGTACAATGTTGCTGTTACCATGTGTGATGTTCTCCTGGTTTTGCTCACTTCACTTTGCATCAGTTCATGTAAGTCTTTCCAGGTTTCACAATATTTTTTAAAAGAGTAGTTTCCCTAACTTATTTTTATAAGTTTAGGTGGTGCATAGGGAGTTTTCTTTTACCATCATTTGGTTTCCAGGATAACTTCTTGGAACTTGCTTGAATTGCTAAGCTATTTCCTCTTATCTTCTAAAAGACAGTCAGTATTGGTATAGTCCCAAGTATTTCTAAATAGGAGTATGTTGTTTAAACTGTTCTTCTGTGACTTAGCACACCAGTTAGTTTTCATATAAATATGAATGATTAGTGGAAGTTGAATGAAGCTTTTAATTATTTTTTTCTTTAAAAGGCACAGTGGAGCAGCAAGAGCTGGTGTTGAAAATATGAGCAAAACCTTAGCAATGGAATGGGCCCACTATGGAATAAGAATCAATTGTATCAGTCCTGTAGGTAACCAGTTATGTGTATACAATTTGTGTACTTATTGTTACATTTTCCTTGTTAGTAATAGGTACATTCCATGTTAATATTAATTACAAAATAGGACAATAGGTACTAGACAAGTTAGAGATTCTATTTGCTGTAAAAGTATTCTTTTGCATGCAACAAAATTCATAAAGAATTTTTCTAGTTTATTCATGGGTTTTGTTTGTTGTTTGACTTTAACTCCTTGAGAGAGGCTGGAGGCAGTGAACTTCAAGTTAAAGTGGTAAGGAGGGTGGAAGAGTAATAAATCTACAGATATAAAGCTCTTTCACAATGTAAAATGTCTTTGGACATTAGATCTTTTTATTTGGGGTGCATATTCTAGAAGGTATTGAGAAATAAAATCTTTCCTTGTTTGCTGTTACTATTGGTAGCTTAGCCTCTGACTGGCAATTAGTTTAGAGATCCCAGGTGTTGTGTATTTTCATGCAAGTAGGTAATCCATTTAGAGAGGATTATTGTACCTCTATGACTTTACTGAGAAGCACAAATAGTAGCTCTGTGAATCTCTATATTTAATCTTTTCTGCTATTTAATATATATTAATATAATATATACCTATAGATTATATGCTGATAGTTTTAGTTGGAATTCAACCATTTTTTCCACTTATTTTTTTTTAATTTTCCCTTTTGTCCCCAAACCTAGGGAGTAATTTATAGCCCAACTGCCTTTAGCAACTATGAAAATTCTGAAGAGTTTGACTTAAAACGTCTCTATCAACATTGCCCAGCTAAGAGATTAGGTGTTCCTGAGGAGGTAATCTCTCTCTCTGTCTCTCTCTCTGTCTCTCTCTCTCTGTCTCTGTCTCTCTCTCTCTCTCTCTCTCTGTCTCTCTCCCCCTCTTCCTCTTCTTCCTCATGTCTATCTCTCATCCTCTTTCCTCCCCTTCTCTCATCTTCTTTCACTCTCTGTCCATATCTTCTCTCTTTTCATAGAGTCATAGAATGTTAGAGCTTTGAAGAACATTGGGGGAGGGAGGAGGGACAGAGAGAATATTTGAAGGAACATTGTCCCATTCAATTTTTAAAAGTATTTTAGATAGTTAATGGATCCACTAAAGTTTTTGGTTGATAAGCTCTTCTGGGATGCAAAGTGCTCAGTTGATAGAAATCAGTTGCTGGAAGATCTTCATAATGCTGTGTGAACAGCTGAAAAGAAGTACTTGGTCTATAGTGCCTTCAGATGCAGTTAGAGAAAAACTATAAATACCATATGCATTTCACAACTCATTCATTTTGGGAGAAATGCATATTTGTTCTTTCTCAGTTAATATAGTTTTTCAGATTAGCAAGATCTAAGGAAAAGTCTAAGTTGTTTAATTATATATACCAACTATCATCCAGTTTCCCTGAGTTAATTATGTTGAGATAATGGATTCAGCAATTTGGAGGATGTATGTTTAAATGAACAGAAGGAAGACCTTTCATATATACCGGGGGATAGTGCCTAAGGTAAATTTTAAAACAGTCAAATTCTTTATCCTGAAATATGAACAAAAATAATGCCAGCTAGATGTTGAGAAAACATAAGCCCTGTGTACTCAAATCAGAAAATTATAGGGTAATCATGTGTATGTATGTGTGTGTACATATACACACATATGACAAATGAAAGTTCATTTTATTGATTTTTTTCTTGCATATTGAATCCATACACGTAAATGATTTTATTCACTCAGTCTCCAATATGTACTACTTCATATTTCACTATTAATTCATTCAATACAGGCTAAAAAAATCTTTTACCTTTTGCAGCTTTTACGCACTTGTCCAGTAATTTCCACAGTTGTTCAGAGAAAATTAACAAAGTAATGCTTAGTGAGGATACATAAAGCACATATGTAGTCAGAATTTTGCTTTAAGATATGGTATTCAGGAGTATCTAAGCTAGAAACCACATACATGTGTAGGTCCACTGGCTAGAAGCTATATCATATTTCTGTTCAGCAAAAGGTAAAACTTCCCAACAATGAAGATTCTCTAAAAATAAAATTGGTTCAGAATATTATTGGTTGAAACAGTTCAGATGACCACTTGCCAATTGGTGTCATAGAAGGCACTCAGTTTTAGGTATGCATTGTGGTAAATGATATCTAAGAATTTGTCTAACATTGTGATTCTGTTATATATATGGATGTGTATATACATATATATGTAGATGTAGATAGAAAAGTATAAATAAATATCTACACAGTTGCACACATGAATGTAACATAGGCATATTTTATTTCTTAGATCTCTTCCGTCGCATGTTTCTTGTTATCTCCTGCAGCATCATTTATTACAGGACACACTGTGGTTGTGGATGGTGGTAAAACTTTGTACTCCCAACAGTTAGACATACCAGGTGAGTCATAAAGAAAAATGACTGATCAAGAAGTTTGTGACTTGCAGTTATAGGATTTTAAATTTTCTTAAATTATTCCTCGAGTGGTAAGATGGCTCTCTTTCCCTTTTAAAGGGCACTGCAGGAAAGGAAACTTGTAACTCAATGATAAATAATTTGAAAAGGAAATTATCTTTTTATATAAACTCTGCAGAATTTTACAATGTAGAAAAGCATCTCTCTCTCCCTCCCTCCTTCCCTCCTTCTCTCTCTCTCTCTCTCTGTCTCTGTCTCTCTCTCTCTCTCTTTTTCTCTCACACATGCACGCACACTTCTAGGTCAGTCAATATATAATAAATGTTTGTTGACTGACTAACTGGGTAGAAATATAATAATAATTCTATATGCAGCCAGATGTTTGACTAGTTGGAATAATGCTCAAAGTCACTACTAGGTAAAACATTGCCTTCAATGTTAATAAGATCTTGAGCTAATAAAAGAAGCTGTTGACGCTATTAATATGTGTAAAGGAAAAGACACTGACACTGATTGCCAACGTTTCACAAAATGTTAACAAAAGTGTTACGCCAATGTAAAACAAATCATAGCAAGGAAGCCAAAACAACTCAGAACCTCGTTAACAACCCTTGAAATCTTTGCCAAACAGAGAGATATAGCATCCAAGGATAATCCAATTTTGGGATAGAAATTGCTTTGCAGAACGTTACCGAGGAGGATAGTGGAAAATTATGAGTGCTATCACCACACGAAACAGTGCAGAGAAGTAGAAGGGAAAGCAGGACTGAAAACTTGTTTGAGAATTAAGTCAGACCATCTTGAGGGAATTTAAAGGTAGAACAACAAACCAACAAAAATTGAACAACTTTAAAAATAATTTGTATTTCTCTAATTTTCATCATGCGCTCCCTCTTCTCTTCATCTTATAACCCTTTGACATCATCTCTATGCAGGTGATTCCCAGATATATATTCAATCCCAGTGTCTCCCTGACACTTCAAACCCACATCATCAGTTGCTTATTAGAGATTTAAAACTGCTTGTCCTGAAGACATCTCAAATTTGATTTATCTTAAACTGAGCTCATTATCTTTCCCCCTAAAACCTTCCTCTTTTCTTAATTTCTTATTTCTCTTAAAGTTACCACTATCCTTCCAGTATCCTAGGTTCTTAACCTTGGTATTATCCTGAACTCCTCACTTTTCTTCATGCTACATATTAGTTCAATTGCCAAATCTAGCCATTTCTACCTTCACAATAGCTTTCACATCTGACCCCTTCTCCCCACTCATACAGTTACCACTTTAGTTCAGTCCCTCATCACTTCTAGCTTAGGTTATTGCAGCAACCTCCTTTTCAGTCTCTGCTTCAAGTCTCTCATCACCCCCATTCCATCTTATATTCTGCTGCCAAAGTAATTTTTCCTGAAGCGCAGATCTGACTATATGCTATCTGACCATCTGCTACTCAGTCAATTCCAGTGTGTACCCTGTTGCTTCTAGAATAAAATGTAAACAAACCCTTCTATTTATCTTTTAAAGTCCTTCACAATTTGGCCTCAACCTATGTTTCCAGTCTTATTGGGCATTACTCCTCTCTCACCATTCTAATCCAGCAATTCCATTTGAATATTCACACACACACACACACACACACAGAGTCAGACAGACAGACAGAGATACATACATATTCAGATTTTAATATGATTGAATAGGAGGAAACAAGTGGACTGGATCCTCTCGGCAATACTACAAATCTTCTTAACACTACTGTTCTTCCACTGATAATTATATGGCTGCAAATCTTGACTACCTTAGTCTCTTAAGAATCAAAATTTTGAGTGATTGAGAGGGCAGTGGAAAGACGTAGTTGGCCTTAAATAGGCTATCTATCTATCTATCTGTCTGTCTGTCTGTCTATCTATCTATCTATCTATCTATCTATCTATCTGTCTATCTATTCACACACATACACATCCGCAAATACACATATGCACATACATATATATGTATAGATAATCTATATACATACACATATATATTACCAATTATGACTGGATACATAAGATGATATAAAAATACTATTCAGTAAGTTTATAATTGGAAATTCATGTGGTGAAGGCAGGGAGACTGCACTACTGTAACACTATAAGCATGGAAAAATATAAGAACTAGAGCAGGGTTTCTTAACTGTTTTTTTGGTGTCATGACCCTTCGTCATTCTGGTGAAGCCAGCCTTCTCAGAATCATGTTTTTAAATCTACAAAACAAATACTTGGGATTACCAAGGAAATCAGTTTTATGGAAGTACAATTATAATAATTTTTTTTTTAGTTCCTGGACCCCAAGTTAAGAACCCTTAAGCAAGAGAAAGTCCTGCAATGTGTTAACCAGATCCTTTTTGAAGGATACTGGGATGGTTTTGACAAGAATCCTGCTGGATGAAGTGTAGGTGTTTTATAATATGGAAGTTGGAAGGAAGGAAGGAAGGAAGGAAGGAAGGAAGGAAGGAAGGAAGGAAGGAAGGAAGGAAGGAAGGAAATGAGGGAGGAAGGAATGGAGGAAGGAAGGAAGGAAGGAAGGAAGGAAGGAAGGAAGGAAGGAAGGAAGGGAGGAAGGGAGGGAGGGAGGGAGGGAGGGAAGGAGGCAGGAAGGAAACAGGCATTTATGAAACATTTGAACCTCACAGCCTTGGGAGGTAGGTGCTATTATTATCTCCATTTTTAAAGATGAGGAAAATGAGGCTGAGAGAAATTAAATGACTTGCCCAGGGTCACACAGCTAGGAAGTGTCTGAGTCTAAATTTGAACTCAGGTCTTCTTGACATTAGGCTCAGTGCTCTATCTACTGTGTCACCTAGGTGGGAAGTAATAGCCACATTGTCAAGCTTCTGGGTCTACTGATATTAGTCTTTGTATATAAGCCACTTCCCTAAAATAGATCTTTTTAAAAAAATACTGTCACAAACAAACAAATCCCCAAACACCAATTGTATATAGTACATATTGTGTTTTTTAAAGGCCAGATTTTAATTAAACAGTATGACTTCTCCTCAGACTAATGCCATGTAATGGCATTTAATTTAATCATATCTGTGAATTGAATCATAATTAATGGATGTGCTCAATGTTCTGATGATAGCAGGGTTTGGGGATGGGTTTAGGAATATGCTTATTTCCTAAAATGAAAAAAGTTCACACATTCGGCAATAATAACTCAATGGTTTTTTCACTCATTTAATCTTAACAGACCATGACAACTGGCCTGATGGACCAGGGGACCTTTCTGCAGTCAAAAGAATTAAAGCTTCCTTTAAGAAGGAATCCAAACTTTAAACTGAGGAAAGTAAGAAAATGAAGTCTTTTTTACTTTCAACCAAAGAATGAATTTTATCATTTTCTGGGGATTTATACTTTTTATGGAAAATTACTTGCTGCTTTTAAAAATTATAAATTATATCTTGGCACAAAGTATGATTCCAATGACTTTAAAAACATGCCTTGACCCATATGTTTTTTAATGTTTTTAAAATGTTGATGCAGATGACTAACAAATGGAAAAAAACCTAAACATTAAGTGATCACCTCTCCTGCCTTGATCCTTACCTGTTAAAATGAGGAACATAGGGAAAGATTAAAAATGCACTTGTTTATGGTAAATTACCCCTTTAAGCAGTTGAATGAAGCAAAAACAGTTAAGAATGATTGATGGTGGTGTTCTCTTGTCCCTCTTAGATTTATTGTATAGCCCCAAAATGAGAGAGCAAGTCTGAATAGTGATGGGATTGTGGATTTTACAAGCACATTTATACAGCTCAGTTATTTCGGGGTGGCAATGTCTACTTTCTTTGTATCAGTAAACTTAGATTATTTAAAAAAACTATTTGTTGTTGTTTTCTTTCTAAAACCAAACCAAGTATAAGCTTCCTCTATCACACACATACTCACAATATGAAAATAGTAACCTTTATAGTAATTTTTGATATGTGCATGAGAGAAGTAACTTTTAGTATTGTACAGGGTAGCCAGAAATGCAGTCTTCAGAGGAGAGCCAGGTTTCTGTGACTTCAGAGAGGTGGAAGAGTATGAAAGGAACAGAACTCAAATGAAGGGCCATTTTTTTTAATTTAAAATTTTTAGTAATTTCTTTGTATTTTTTTTCACTCATTTCTGCATATACCCTTCCCCTACCACTCAGAACCCTCCCTTATAATAACAATGAAGAAAAGTTAAACAGACCAAATATAGCAACTGTAAGTGTCACATTTGTTATCTATTGTTATCTGATATTGTTATTTGGATTTATTGTTAGATATATTTACTGTGAATTTAGTTAGTTTTCTTGTATTTCTTTTCTTTATATTATTTTAATAATTTCATATTTTTTCTTTGGGTTTTGGTTATTTCACTCTTCATGAGTTCATACAAGTTGAAGGGCTATTTGTTAAAAAAAAAGGGAAGATAAGGCGGTGCTCGTTCTGTGTGATTAGGACTTCAGAAAAGATTCTAAATGTTTGGTAACTCATCCTTTAAGAATACATCCTCAAAGTTTGCAAGGAGCTAAATTTAAACTCTCTGGCTTAGAATTAGTATTCTACTTTCCCCCTTTTTTTGAAAATTGAGACAGTATTTATTTTTCTCCAGGCCTATGATACTACTTTCATTTTTCACAGTCTTTTCTCTCTCTCTCTCTCTCTCTCTCTCTCTCTCTCTCTCTCTCTCTCTCTCTCTCTCTCTCTCTCTCATCGTGAATTTTTTTTGATCCTTAACACTAAACAAAATGGAAATTACATGTAGTAGTAGAATAAGAAGAATTTACATGAAACTACAGATTTCTATTAAGTACACCTTGCTTTTCTCTTAAGGTACAATATCTAATAAATTTCAAAGCTGTCCCAATTGTCTGTGCTTCAAGATGACTCAGTGACCATTCCTTCCTTCCTTCCTTTCTTGCTTCCCTCCCTCCCTTCTTCCTTCCTTACTCTATCTCTGGCTTCTTTCCTTCCTCTTTCTCCCTTCTTTCTTTCCTTGCTTCCTTTCCTTCCTTTCTTTCTTCATTTTCTCTTTTTTTCTCCCTTCTGTTTTTCCTACTTCTTTCTTTTCTTTCCTTCCCTTCTTTCCTTTTTTATTTCTCTTACTTTTCTTTCTCCTTTCTCTTCCTACCTTCCTTCCTTCCTTCCTTCCTTCTTTCCTTCCTTCCTTCCTTCCTTCCTTCCTTCCTTCCTTCCTTTCTGTCTCTCTCTCTCTCTCTCTCTCTCTCTCTCTCTCTCTCTCTCTCTCTCTCTTTCTCTCTTTCTCTGTCCTCACTGGAAGAAAAGAAAAGAAAAAAAATCCCTTATAATATGCCTAGTCAAGCAGAACAAATGTCCCCATTGGCAGTTTCTGAAGCTATATGTCTTATTTTATATCCTGAGTCTATCACCTCACTAGATCCAAAGCTCTTTTCACTGAGCCTCTGTCTTTCACTGAAGCTTCTTGAGCAGAGTTGACATGGTGAGACCTGCACTTTAGGAATATCAGTTGGGTAGTTGTGGGAAGAGTGGATTGGAAAGGAGACACTTCATGAAGAGAGACTAGTTCAATCCAACAAGTCTTTGTTAAGTGCCTACCATAGATAAGGAGCTGTGCTTCTTGTTGTGAATCCAAAGAATGTGCACAGGTTAGTGACTTTGGGGGTAAAGTCCTATTTGCTTTCCAGAATGACTGGATGAATTCATAGCTCTACCAACTGTGCATCAGTGTGACCTTATCCCCGAAGCCTCTCTATGAAATGTCATTTTTTTTGATATCTTTGTCAAACTAATAGGTGTGAGGTAGACTCAGAGAGTTGCTTTTATCTTTTATCAGTCTCTATTTCTTGCCTGTTCATGAACTTTTCCTTAATCATGGTTCCAAAAGGCATTATTTTCTAGGTCTTCAAACTTGTTTATGATATGACCTTTTATATCTGTGTCATGTATCCATTCAGAAGTTATTGTGGCATATGGTGTGAAGTCTTGGTATAAATCTAATTTCTAGAGGATTCTGGGAAGATGGCAGAGTAGGTCAGAAAACTTTCAGCTCTCCAACTTTCCTTCACAAACACACACAAATTTCCTGAAAGTGAACATAGAACAGCAGAAATAAATAGAAGTGGGGTAAAGCAGTTGTCTTAAGACAACTTGAAAAGACCCCAGGAAAGACTCAACCTCCAGGGGCTGAGGTTCAGCCTGAATGAAATGCAAACATTTCCAGGCCTACTCTCTGTAATCAACAAACAACAAGCCCTGGGAACAGCTGGGATGGAAGACAGCCTTAGCCTCAGGAACTTTTGCATCATGGACAGTGTGAAGGTTGGATGGCTGGACAGAAGATTGAGGAATCTTCCACTGTTGAGGGACCACAAACATAGTTGTGTTAACGTAAGGCAGTTCCAGGCTGCTGCTGTGGGGGAGAAGGAGTTAGCATATGCCTGGTAAGTACAGTAGCAGAGAGGCAGGTACCTTGCTGGCTGTAGGCACTTGCAGGAGAGCAAAGTCCCTGGTTTCAGTTCCAGGGCAGAGAGGACAGTTGTTTGCAGAGGGACCACAGAGAGCAGGAGCATTTGTGAGACAGCATGGCTGGGGGCCCAACCTGTGGCTTATGGGTGGAGAGGAGTGCCCAAGGTTGGACCCTGGGAAAGAGCTCAGAAAATAACAGTAAGAAGTACTTGAGGCTTGGGGCATCATTCCCCATACTTCAGGACACGAACTTGATTATATTAATAACTGCTGAAAACAAAATATAACAAAATAAAAATGAGTAAGCAAAGGAAAAAAAAACTTAATTATAGATAGCTACCATGGAGATAGAGAAGATCTGGGTTCACACTCATTGGAAGACAGTGGAGCTAAAAAAAAAGCCGATCATTTTTTCAATGAGAAATGTCAAACAGCCCCAGGCCCAAAAAGAGTTCTTGGAAGAACTAAAAAGGACTATAAAAATCAAATAAGAAAGGTAGAGGATAAAAAAGAAGAGCAATCCAAGAAAACCAAGAAAATTATGAAAAGAAAGTCAACTAGCTGGAAATGGAGAATCAAAAACCTAAGGAAGAAAATAATTTCTTGAAAGCTATAATTGGGAAAGGGAAAGTTAATGGCATTATAAGACACCAAGAAATAATGAAATACAATCAGAAGAATGATAAAATAGAATAGAATGTGAAACATCTCATCAGAAAACAACTAATCTGGAGAACAGATTGAGGAGAGACAATATAAGAATAGTTGTACTACCTGAAAGTTATAATTAAAAAAAAGAATCTTGTTACAATATTACAAGAAATTATCAAGGAAAATTGCCCTGAAATTCTAGAACAAGAAGGCAAAGCAGAAATAGAAAAAAAATACACCAATCACCACCTGAAAGAGATCCCAGGAGGAAAACGTCCAGGAATATCATAGCCAAGTTTCAAAGTTCCCAGGTTAAGAAGAAAATATTGCAAACAACAAGAAAAAAAGAAACTTAAATATCATGGAGCTACAATAAGGATTACATAAAAGCTAGCAGTTACTACATTGAAGGGTCATAGGTCTTGGAATACTATATTTTGTAGAGCAAAAAAACCTGGGGTTACAACCAAGAGTCACTTACCCAGAATAGTTAAGTATAATCCTGAATTTTAAAAAACAGATATTTACTGAACTGAAAGACTTTCAGGCATTTGTGACAAAAACAGCAGAACTTAAGGGAAAATTTGACATATCTGGAAGCAACATAAGGTAAACATTAAAGGCCAATTATAAGGGACTTAATAAAGTCAAATTTACTTCTTACATGTGGAAATATTTTTAGTACTCTTGTGACTGTCCTCATTATTTGAGTAGCTTGAAAGAAAGGCTTGAGTTGAGCTGTCTATGATGGGATAATTCTAGAAAAATAAAACTGTGGATAGAGATAAAAAGGAGTAACTGTCTCATACAAATAAGGCATGAAAGGAAGAATTTATATAGAAGAAGCAAGTGGGGGAAGGGACTGTAGTACTGGAACCTAACTCTCATTAGAAATGGCTTAAGGGGGAACAACATATATATTTAGAAAGTATAAAAATCTTTTAAATTTAGGAAGAAATAAGAGGATGAGAGGAGAGGATAAGGTAGGAACTTTTAGAGGGATGGGTAAGTTATGGAATAGGAGGGCAAGGTAGCAGATAGAAGTAAATTAGAGGAGTGAGGAGGAATAGGGTAAATAGGGTGAGAAGAATAGTGAGAAAAAATAAGGATAGAAATATACAAGTAATTGTAGCTTAGAATGTGAATAGGATGAATTTACCCATAAAAGAGAAATGGATAGCAGATTAAAAATCTGAATTCAACAATATCTTGCTTTCAGGAAAATAAAAATGAGAGATAGACATAAAGATAAAATAGAGGGCTGGAGCAGAATTTATTATGTAAAAAGAGCAGGAGCAGTAATCATGATCTCAGACAAAGTTTAAAATAGATTTAATTAAAAGAGAAAAATTGGGACTACATTATGTGTCACCAATATTATTCAATGTTGTTTTAGACTGGTCTAAATAACTAGACCATATAAAATATCTGAGAGTATTCCTGCCAAAACAGACACAGGAACTATATAAACATAAACACAAAACACTTTTTATACAAATAAAATCAGAATTAAATAACTGAAGTGATATTTATGGGTAGGTAAGCCAATAAAATAAAAATGACAATTTTACCTAATTTATCTATTTATTCAATACCATCCCAATTACATTGCAAAGAAAAAATTAGTGAGAAAAAATAATAAGAAAGTTCATTTGGAAGCACAAAAGCTCAGGAATTTCAAAGAAACTAGGGAAAAAAGATATAGAGGAAGGAGATTCAGCAGTATCAGACCTTGAACTATAGTATAAGGTGA